AAACATTTAAAAAACTGGATGTTCATAATTAACATTTTCATAACGTCTGCAAAATGATAAAATGGAATGTTCTCTTATATAATGTTTTCATAACTTAATGGGAACGTTAGCAAAACCTTCTCAGAACATATTTTTGTTAGCTGGGATATTGTCAATATTGAGTATTTTTGCTCCAAAATAATTCAATTCAAGTTTATTTGTACAGCGCTTTTCACGATACAAATTGTTGCAAAGCAACTTTACAGCAAATTAAGTTCCTACAATATTTAGTGGTAGCTTATCAGTGGTGACTGTCAGTTAATGTACATATGGCAGAAATGTACGGAAAAATCAATTAAAGACGTAATCAAACAGACGATGAACACTATTAATAGCCATTATTTTATGATGCAATCAAACTTATAGCAAAATGTGGTAGTTCTGTATGTTGTATATATAATAATTGCTTAGTTTTTGAATGATTCAGTGTGTTTTAAAGAATCGGTCGAGTCAATGATTCAATGACTCATTCATACAGACTCGCTTCATTCCTGAATGAATCAGCCGTTTTGAATGAATCGTTTGAATGAATGAATCAATCAATGAATCATTAAGACAGTGACATGTCACACATACATTTAAAAAGGTTAGAAAAGTTGCCTCTATAAAGGTAAATATGCCCCTGGAAATAGATTTTAATTTCACCCTTTAATGGAAACGTTTCTGTCACTGCTTATAGGTTTGAGATCATTTTTCAGTTTTTTTCTGCCATTATAGAAATGGCTGTTGTGTTTGAAATAATGCATTACTGTAACTGATGACGGATTTGGCAGTAATCATAACGTGTACAGTTCAATAGCAGTGATAACAAACATCTCTCTCACAGATTGACAAGCTGATTTCACCTTTCTAAGCGGAGAGATGAACATTTTAAGTATGGAAATTGATTCAGACAGATACAATCGAACAATAACAGCACCCTGCTGTTTCTCTGGCCAGAATGAAGTAATCATCGCTGCAGTTTCACCTACAGGACCTGTTTGAGACAGTGTGTGTTCTTCCACTGCCCTCTGCTGGAGACACAAACACCAACACCACACGTGAGCAAATGCATTTCCATCAGATCCAATGCTTTCAGATGTCAGTACACATTTTAGGAATACTTACAAATAAACAGGTTAATATTTCATCAGAATTGTTTTTTTAAATATTTAATAAAATATTACTAAACACTGCATTATTTCTCCATCATTATAATGACTTAATAATGCAATGCTTTCAAATACCATTGATAGTTTTCAGAATAATTTTTTGATAGACTGATATCATCCAGGCCAGAGTTATTTTAGTATTATTTATAGAATTTATTAATATTTTGAAATAGCTTTTGTTTTTATCTTTCCTGTTTTCATGATAATTTTAGTTTGTTTTAGTAATTTTGTTTTGTGCTTTTGTTGTTTTTATTAGTTTAAGTTTTTAATATTTCTATTTTATTTCAGTATTAATTGTAGTAATTTAGTAGTAAAATTACTTTCAGCTTTACTTCAATTAACAAAAACCTTAGTTTTAATCATTTTAGTAAACACTGAAGATATTGGTATAGGCCAGGGTTATTTTAGCATCATTTAGGCTATATATTATTATAGTATTTATTAATATTTTGAACTAGCTTCTATTTGTATATTTTGTTTCCATTTAAATTTTAATTTAAGTTTTAGTACTATTATTCTGTGCTTTTGTCATTTTTATTCATTTTTGTTTTTTAATAGATTTCTATATTACTTCAGATTTACTTTTAGTCATTTCAGTACTTCAAGTTTCAGTTTTTCATCTAATTTATATTATAATTCAGCTTTATTTCAGTTAACTAAAAAAAATAAAATAAACAGCAATGCTATCGATATCAGTCTAAGCCAAAATTATTTATACACTATTATAATATTTATTAGTATTTTGACTAAGCTTTTGTTTTTATTTTTATATTTATATTTAATAATATCTAATATTTAATCATCTATTTTTAATTCTAATTTTATTACAGTTTTATTGATTTCAGAACTTATTTTATTTCAGTTAGTTACCATGGCAACTATTATTTTTTTCTAATTTTATATTATATTTATATTTTATTTCCGTTTTTATTTCAATGAATGACAGCATTAGTTGCAATAGTTTTAGTTAACAATAACAACACTACTATAGGCCCATATTGGTCAACCACAGTTCTGAATATTGGGGGAATGGCCCTGAAATAATTAAATCTTTCAAAATGTCTTTAGTCTAGCAGCACCTAAAGCCTGTTTGCCCTTCCCGTATCAGCACTGCATTAGTGCCAACAGATTATTACAGAGCAAACTACAAACGCCCCTAATTATAACACAATGAATGCAGTGAATCAATACAGCAGAAGCTGACTCACTGTAAACAGATGTATCATCACAGTAACTGCCATGCCATTTCTGCCCTGCAATCTCCACTAGAGGCCAGCATTTAATACACGAGCCCCCGGCCTCAGCACAAGCATCTCAGATGAATCCTGGAATAATGCAGGGCTTTTATCAGCATGTTCCTCTCACATTCTCATAAACAACCCTGTTGCCATGACCGGGACTCACTGCGCCAACACTCAAGTCTGGACTGAAACTCAGGTACAGTATCCAGATCTAACCAAAAATAAAAGCTTCAGAAAACACAACTATTATTCTGAATATGGAAGGCTCTGGGTGCCACTGTATCATTTTTTGTGCATGAACTTCTACTTCATTTTGATGTGCTTTTTTATTACAATAAATAGTTTGAAGCATTTCAACAAGTGCAGGGACAGTCATGAGCAGGTTCAAGCCAGCAGACTTACAAAACTAAACTGATATCATTCAAATCAGTCATACATCCAGACTATATTCACATTACACTGTGTCAATAAAACACAGATTATTAGAGCATGTTTTACATTAAAGAAAAAGTATTTCAGTCTTTCTACTTCTAAATTTTATGTTCAACTCAATGCGTTACGTATTGATTCTTTTATTATTTATGAAATCGAATAGCAATGAGTGAAAACGGTTTCAGAGCAAATTCATGTTTTAGGTGTTTATGTTCTGCTACAGTATTTATTAACATTTTGACTATAGCTTTTAGTCTTCATGTTCATTTGAGTTTTAGTGATTTTGTTTTGTGCTTCTGTCATTTGATTCGTTTTTGTTTTTTAATATTTTTGTTACTTGCTGTTTCTTTGTAATTATTTGTGAAATTTACTAGCAACTTCTTACTGAAAATTCGTTCAAAGTAAACCCTGCACCATTTTTTAGTGTTTATATACTATTATAGGATTTATTCATATTCTGACAGCTTTTCTTTTCATATTTTCTGTTTTCATGTTCATTTTAGTTTAAGTTTTAGTAATTGTTTTTAATTCATTTTTACTTCAACTTTTGATTAAATTCAGTGTTACTTGTTGTTTCTTTGTAATTATTTGTGAAATTTACCAGTAATTTCAGAGTTAAAGTTGTTTCAAAGTAAAAGTTTTTGCAGTGTTTATATACTATTATTTATTAATATGTTGTCTTAGCTTCTATTTATATATTTCCTGTTTAAAGTCTTTGTAATTATTATTAACTCTGTCATTATTTGTAACAATTTCTGAGTGAAAGTTGTTTCAAAGTAAACCCTACTCCCTTTTTGTGTTTATATACTATTATAGTATTTATTCATATTTATATTTTTGTTTTCATCTTAATTTTAGTTTAATTTTTAGTAATTTTGTTCAGTTTTATTTTAGCTTTTATTTTTATCATTTCTGTTTTCATGTTAATTTTAGCGTAAGTGTTAGTTATTTTGTGCTTTTGTCATTTTTTTTATATTTCTATTTTTAGTTATATATTTTTTTATTTAATTCAGTGTGTTACTTGCCGCTTCTTTACAAATAATTGTGCAAGTTTCTAGCCATTTCTGAGTGAAAGTTGTTTCAAAGTAAACTGTACACCATTTTTTTTTTGCAGTGTTTATATACTATTATTTATTAATATGTTGACTTAGCTTCTATTTGAATATTTCCTGTTTCCTGTTTAAAGTCTTTGTCATTATTTGTAACAATTTCTGAGTGGAAGTTGTTTCAAAGTAAACCCTACACCTATTTTTTTCAGTGCATGTATACTGTATTGCATGCATATTAAACTCCACAATGCAAATATTCCCAAAAGTTATGAAACAAGTTACAATAACACCGGTTTAATGATTAGTTATATTAAAAAGCGTATGTGGATCTCAAATGAATCCAAATATGGTGCTTAATAAGCGTGCCTTGATGTAATGCTGCCAAACATTCACATGCTGGAGGTTTCGCGGGGCAAAAGGGCAAAATGAGGCTGATCTACCCGCCCCTGACAACCATCACAAACCCACACACAACAGCAGCAGCAGCAGCAGCAGCTCACACTCACTCAGCATGAACGCAAACACGCTTTAAACTCGACTAACGCTGCTCAAACTCGCCCGAGATTTTTTTTTTGCAGTGTTTATATACTATTATTTATTAATATGTTGACTTAGCTTCTATTTGAATATTTCCTGTTTCCTGTTTAAAGTCTTTGTCATTATTTGTAACAATTTCTGAGTGGAAGTTGTTTCAAAGTAAACCCTACACCTATTTTTTTCAGTGCATGTATACTGTATTGCATGCATATTAAACTCCACAATGCAAATATTCCCAAAAGTTATGAAACAAGTTACAATAACACCGGTTTAATGATTAGTTATATTAAAAAGCGTATGTGGATCTCAAATGAATCCAAATATGGTGCTTAATAAGCGTGCCTTGATGTAATGCTGCCAAACATTCACATGCTGGAGGTTTCGCGGGGCAAAAGGGCAAAAGGAGGCTGATCTACCCGCCCCTGACAACCATCACAAACCCACACACAACAGCAGCAGCAGCAGCAGCAGCTCACACTCACTCAGCATGAACGCAAACACGCTTTAAACTCGACTAACGCTGCTCAAACTCGCCCGAGATGAGGGAAATAACGCGACCTCGATGACGTCACGGCGGCAGAAGTTTGTCTGAAGCGCTTTATCTCATGAAGGTGGCACGAGCGGACTTTAACAGGTGAGTAACTTTACCGACATTAGTGACGTTAAACCGACGCGATTCATCAGTGACTGTCGGAAACATGAAATGAGATCGATGAACTTTTAATTTATGCGCGTGTGAAGAGAGACTTTGATTCATTTAATGTGTTTCACGGACGAACAGGATTCCAGTTTATCATGTGTTTATTTTACATTATTAGAAATAATAAAATCAATCATGTAAGCGTAAAAATAATTTAGTAACATTTATACTGCAAACCGAATCACGACGAAATCATCAAATATAGTACTGTTTGTCTCACCATTAACATTAAAAATTACATTTAAAAATATTATTCTGAATCGATCTCATTTTTTTTTCAATTATTTTTTAAACTGCTTAGTAGGTATATTCGGATGACGTCACCGCGGCAGAGTTTACGAAGAACGTGAAGAACATCACGACGAAATAGTGTAGTGTACTGTATTTGTCTCACTACTAACATTAAAAATGTTAATCTGAAAATCTCATCTTTACTATAATTTTTGATGCTGTTTATTATATCCCAATGACGTCACGGCTGCAGAAGTTCGTCGGAAGCGATTTCATAAATAACATCGACATCTTTAAATATACTGCATTTGTCCCACAGCTAACATTAAAACTAACATTTAAAAAAATATTATTCTGAAAATCTAATTGTTACAATTATTTTTTAAACTGCTCAGTGGGCGTGTCCCGATTACGTCACTACCGCAGAAGCGATTTCATTGACAACATCACGACTACATCTTTACTGTAATTTAATGTTAACTGTGGGACAAATACAGTATATCTAACATTAAAAATATCAACGAGAACCTCAGGAGCCAAACTTTATTGCTGTAGTTCACAATTCCCCCCTAAAAACAAGTAGAGTGATGCTATCAGGTAATACCATGATAGCACTTTTAGAAACATTTTCAGCATCTGTGGTAAAGTTGCACTGCATTACAGTTCACGTTCAGTGTAAGGAGTAACCTAATGTAGTCAACGTTTTGACTGAAAACTCAAAAAAAGTGGATCATTTACAGGTAGATGTAGGCCACATTTTCAGGTAACCAGACAAAACATTTTCCAATTTTAATTTCAAAACATTTTCCATATTCATCAGGTAACTGAAACCTCAGCGCACATATAAATCCGAACGCTGTAGATGATGTCCTGTGTCGACCAGTGACAGACATGAACGGGAAAGGCTGCAACCTGATGGTTTCTCCGTCCGGTACGGCTCAGGTTCCTCACCTGAGGGTCCAGACGGGTCACTCCTGTTCTCCATCGCTCCATCCCGACGCCACATCAGGAAACCCGGCCCTGAGTCTCCGCCGACAGGTGCTGACCAATGGGAAGCTGGGCTTTCCACACTCCTCCCGACATCAAGCCCCGCCCCTTTCACTCCCAGCATCCTCTTCCAAACAGTCAGCTCGACCCAGCTGCTCGGACAATGGTACAAAAGGTAAACAAGACTAAACATCTCAGATTTAAATGCACAGAATTTGCTACAAGCCACGTTCAGTGGCTTGAAAGACCAGCCGGAGTTCATAATTTAAAGAAATAAGCCATATCTTCATGTCTGAGCTCCACTCTACCCATAATGCTCAGCTCAGTGAGCCAGAACACGAGACGTGATGCTTTGAATTGGATAAGAGACTATTGAACATCCCCCCGGCCATTTAAACAACACTTCCAGCCTTCATTTCGTCTCGGACTGTCAGAACAAAGTGAAGATGTGCATTCAATTCTCATCACAAATGCACTTAATCAGTCCTACATATATAATACAGTGTTACAAAGTCAGCATGAAATCAAAATCAGACCCATGATGTCCTTTAGTGCGACTTTCCTTCAGCCGACGTCTCCTGTTTTTCAACTATCACCATCCAGTTAATTGATAAAAATGAATTTTGAAGAAAAAATGCATTTTCCAATGGTGCTTATACAATGTAACACTTTATGCAGATTGTTTCAAAGCAGCTTCACTGTAATAAACAGGAAAGTAAGGGCGTTCGTGTTGTAAAAATTATGAAACAAAACTGTGAAGCAGCTCTATACAAGACAATAGTGTTTGTTGTATTAGTTCAATGTTGATTCAGTTGATAGTGTCATAAGCATAAACCCAGCTAACAGGGAACGATCTCATAATGTTTATTTTTTAAAAGTATGTAAATATTAGGACAGAGCATTCTTAAGGAATGTGTATGGAAAGTTCTTATAACTATTAACATTTGATATACATTCTCATGAAGATGAGAGAAAGCATTCTGCTGTTCGTCAGCGTTCTCGGAACATCGTTACGATGATATTTGTCCTTGAACGTTCTCATAACGTTGAGAAAACATTCTTAGAATTTGAACTTTATGAACATTCTAAGAAATATTGTTGTAAGCATTAAATAGCGTTCTGAATCACGACATGAAAACTGGACGTTTTTATCATTCTTAAAATATTAAAACATTCAAATAACATTATGTTTTGGGTTAAAAAGTTCATGGAATGTTACTTAAAGGTTACAAAAACATTCTAATCACGATGACAAGAACAGACATTCTAATGTTCTTAGAATATTAAAATAACGTTCAAATAACATTATATTTTGAGTGAAAAGGTTACGTTGTAAGAAACGTTGTTGTAACCTTTAAAAAATATTATAATACAAGGAAAACGTCTCAGGTTACTTATGTAACCATGGTTCCCTGAGTGCCAACGATTTGGTGTTTTTTCAATGTATGCTTCAGACACGAGTCACGACGAGGCGTTCCCCATAGCGACCCCTAGAGGATGCAGTTCGAAGTTCCCATGAAAGGGAACTGGACATTTTAACGTCCTTAGAATATTAAAAATAAGCATTCAAATAGTTATATTTTAGGTGGAAACATTAGTAGAACGTTGTAAGAAACATTTTTGTAACCTTTAAATAACGTTCTAATTATGACAAGAAAACTGGACATATCAACATTTTAGAAACATTTAAAAACAATGTTTCCACAACGTTTTTAATAACCGAAATTTGTTCCCTGCCTTCTGTTTTCTTGAAAGATCACAGGTGAATCTGACCGGGCATACATTCAGTTCTCTGGACATCATCTTGTCTCGTGACCCAAAAGCACATGGTACTGATTTACATACTGGTTTATACTTCAGTAGCGTCCAGCAGCTCCGTCCATGTCTTGTCCCCAAACCACAGCTCTCATATTTTTGATGATTAACCAAGCAGAAAGCTTGTACCCAAACGAGCCATGGAACCAAAGCAGAGGGAGAAACTCATTAGTACTTAACAGAGCAGAAACGCTTCCTTGGATTTACGGGTTTGTTATAGGAATTCCATGACTATTCATGTGTTTCTGTTTGATAGAGACCGAAAATATCACGTTAGAGGACAAAAGCTCTGGTAGTCCACCCAAAAATGCTTAGTTTTCATTAAATGTTAAGTTTGCTTTACAGAAACTTAATAATATACGAAATAATATACAGTAACTAGATAATATGTGACCCTGGACCACAATACCAGTCATAAGGGTAAATTTTTTGAAATTGAGAGTTATACATCATCTGAAAGCTGCATAAATAAGCTTTCCATTGATGTATGGTTTGTTAGGATCGGACAGTATCTGGCTGAGATACAACTATTTGAACATCTGGAATCTGAGGGTGCAAAAAAATCTAAATATTGAAAAAAATCGCCTTTAAAGTTGTTCAAATTAAGTTCTTAGCAATGCATATTACTAATCAAAAATTAAGTTTTGATATATTTACGGTAGGAAATTTACAAAATATCTTCAAGGAACATGATCTTTACTTAATATCCTAATGATTTTTGGCATAAAAGAAAAATCAATAATTCTGACCCATACAATGTATTGTTGGCTATTGCTACAAATATACCCCAGCGACTTAAGACTGCTTTTGTGCTCCAGGGTCACATATCTGGAAATTACTGATTGATTTGTGATTTATAACCCAGTATTATTGATGCTTCTGAGATGAAGTCATTATTGCCAAAACCTCACCTATATATTAACCAGCTTTTTATGCATTACAAATATATGTTTGTGTTTCTAAGCAATACCATGCATGCATATACTGTAAAGCTTCTGTCCCAGCAAGTTAGTCCATGCATGCAGTATAGGAAGTAAAGCTTGCTTAATCGGCACACTTTGCAACAACAATATTCAACTTGATATTTAATAGTCTGTAAAAATTTGCAAAGCATGAAAAGCCTGTCATTATTATTGAGCCTTGAATCGTTGCGCCTTGCAAATGATCTTAAAATATCAGAATTCTTAGTGTAATCTTAATGTGTCATTTGCAAACACAAGAAGTTCTGGTGAAGTTATCAACACTATGAAAAACAATAAAGGCAGAGTAAGCAGTACTGAGTAATCAGGATATGTAATCATAGTCCTGTTATGCTGTACTAGGAAGGAAAATAAGTATGTCTCCAAGGCAGAACAGTCTCTGCTCTACTGGAAACGCAGAGCTTGATTATTAGTTCTTTGCTGGAGACTGGTTTAGAGTCTTTTAGTGCCAGTTTTTCCTGCTCTTTAATGGCTAGATTTTCTGACAGTCTGAACTTTAGCATTACAGCAGGTGTTCAAGACTTTTCATTCTTTTCATAAACTTAAAAGTTTGATTTTGTGCAGCTCTTACAGGAGATTTTATATAATGTGGTAGAAGTCAATTATCATTATTCAATGACGGGTCATAAATGTCAGATGAAACGTGACTCTTTCTCAGGTTACTTGTCTTTGGGGACGAACAGAAGAGTCTTTGGGCCGTGTGGCGGTTCAAACCTGCAGGTGATGAGCAACGCCATGCTGGTCCAGAGTCTGGGTCCGGTTTCTCCACAGACTTCAGCCCAAAACGGCCCACCTCATTCCCTCGCTGTTCCCTTCGCTGATGCCAGGTAAACATCCTCACACACTTAAAAATAAAGGTCCAAACAGGGTTTTTCGCAGTGATGCCATTTTTGTGTTCCTTAAAGAACCTTTCAGTGGTCAGTTCTTAAAAAAAAAACGGGTTTTTTCTTAGTGTGAAGAACATTTGAATAATCTAAAGAACCTTTTGTGGAATGGAAAGTTTCCATGAATGTTAAAGGTTCTTTATGGAAGCATAGTGAAGAACCTTTATTTTTAAGAGTGAAAAGGGAAAGGTTCACCCATTCATCAAAGTTTCTTTATTCCATAACATACAAAAGAATATGTTTTTATGTATCTTTGCACAGTACAACAAAAGCATGCATTGGCCACAGGCTGTCAAACTCCAAAAAGTACCATATAAGAAGTCCGTTTGCACTATATTTCAAGTCCAAACAGATCGATATTGTCATTATCCACTGAAAACCTTCCCTTCTACCAAAAGCTCTCAAATTTCATTCATGCTTCTCAATATTCATACTTGGTCATTATTTACTCACCCTCATGTTGGTCCTCTGGTGAAGATCTTAATGGACTACAAAAGTTATGTGGAGAATAAATGACATGTAGAAACACTGATGCAAATAACATCGGTCGTCTCTTCCTAGCTAGCAGGGAACGTTCTCACAACTTTAAAAGTTTATATTAGGACAAAACATTCTTAAAGTAATGTGTATGGAATGTTCTTTTTTAATATTTGATATATGTTCTCATAATGTTGAGAGAAAACGTTCTGAGATCAACATTGTCAAAAAACACCCTTATGATGTTATTCGTACTTGAACATTCTAAGAAACGTTTTTTGTAAACTGAAAAGAAAACTGGACATTTTAACGTTCTTAGAATATTAAAAAATAAAAGTTCAAATAACGTTATACTTTGGGTGAAAAAGTATAGAACAGTAGAATGTTGTAAGAAAAGTTAACCTTTAACATTGCAATCATGACAAGAAAACTGGACATTTTAACGTTCGACAATATTAAAAATAAGCGTTCAAATAACATATTTTGGGTAAGACTAAAGTTTGTAGAATGCTGTAAGAAATGTTTTCGTAACCATTAAGTGACTTTATAATCACTACAAAAAACCTGGACATTTTAACGTTTTACAAACATTTCAAAACAATGTTCCCACAACGTTTTTATAACCTAAATTTGTTGTCTGGGTTAACAGACACCATTAACAGCATATGTAATGGCACCAATTTGGGAGCTAAAGTGGATGATTTTTCAGTGAATAACACTTAAATGACTTGAAGACATTTGTGTGATCATCTCACAGTCAACAATCTTTTTGAACCTCTTCAGTCGGGTTTTCGTAAATTTCACAGTACTGAGACGGCCTTGGTCAAAGTCACTAATGATTTATTGGTCTATTACTCGTCTTGAAAGAGTTTTTGGTGTGTCTGGGACTGCCTTAAGGTGGTTGAAGTCTTATTTCACTGACCGCTCCCAGTTTGTTTCTATGGGTGGTTATAGGTCCGAGATTAGCTCTGTCTCAACTGGTGTCCCTCAGGGTTCGGTTTTAGGTCCTTTACTTTTTAACATTTATTTGTCACCTTTAGGCCATCTTTTGAGATTGCTCGGCCTTCATTATCATTTGTATGCCGACGATATGCAGATGTATATACATTCAAAACCTCATGAGTGCCTTGACGTTGCTTATTTGTCTGACTGTATTACTGAGATTAAAATATGGATGGATAATAACTTCTTGTGTAGTTGGTAAAACTGAAGTTATGCTCATTGGTTCCCGTTATCAAATTTCTAAAGCTCGTTGTCTGTCCCCAACTCTTGACGGTTCTGTTTTGGAAATCCAGAATCGAGTGAGGAACCTTGGTGTTATTTTTGATGCAAATCTGTCTTTTGATTCTTTCGTCCAGAGCACTGTTAAAACCTTTTATCCACCTCAGAAATATCGCAAGATTGTGCCCTATGTTAAATTTTAGTCGCGGAAATGCTGATAAATTCCTTTGTTGTCTCACGGTTAGACTATTGTAATGCTCTTTTAGCCGGAGCTTCTAAATCTACACTTAATAATTTGTAATATGTACAAAATTCAGCCGCCAGGATTTTAACTGGGACTAGGATTGGCAATCATATTACTCCAGTGTTAGAATCTTTGCACTGGCTCCCGGTCAGGTTTAGAGTGGATTTCAAAATTATGATGCTTGCTTTTAAAGCATTCCATGGTCTGGCACCACATTACTTTATAGAATTGTTACATCCATACACTCCTAGTCGTAGATTGCATTCCTCTCAGTCAAACTTGTTACTTGTTCCTCAAACACGTCTAAGATCTATGAGTGATAAGGCTTTCTCTTTCTATGCTCCTGTCCTTTGGAATTCTCTGCCTTTTGAACTTAGGGACGCTCAGAATTATGATGTTTTTAAAGTTCAACTCAAAACATATTTTTTAAAACTTGCATTTGCTTGTTAATTTTGTATTGTTTTTTTTACATTTGCTTATTGATGTTTTTTTCATGTTTCTTTAATTATTTCTACTCTAATTGCTTATATTGTGTTCAGCGCTTTGAGAAGCTGCTTTTAAAGGCGCTTTATAAAATAAAGTTTATTATTATTATTATTATAGACTTGGGACTACTGTTATGATCCATAATGTATCTTGATTTTGGAGCTTGACGGCCCCAGTCCTATTTAAAGTAATGGAAAAGGGTGACCAGGATATTCTCAAAGTAGACAGAAAACCTGTAGTTTTTCAGTCCTGACATCAAAAGACTAATTCGCCATGGGTTCCCTCCAGATTCTCACGAGTAAACCAAAGCCTGTGACAAACATAACTTGATGATACTTGGACGTTTTGCAATAAATTTTTGGGTCATCTATTGCAGGTGTTTACTGTCCAGAGAGTCTTTGGCCTCGACCACCCTCAGCCTCGCAGAGACGCAGTCGATTCGCAGCGGTAAGCTGGACTGGCCCTACGGTTACCGCGTTCTGCCTCCTTTAGGGCTAGGGTTTAACCAGATTTCAGAAGCAGCCGATCCGCATCTCATTCCCGGATCCTCCATGTCCGAATCCGTCTCCAACCCCACGTCTCTACCGCATTATCTCTTCATGGAGGACACCAGCCGCTGCAAAAAGCGAGCGCTGTCCTTGTCTCCGCTCTCAGACGGCATCGGCCTCGACCTCAACTCCATCATCAGAACCTCGCCCACGTCGTTGGTGGCGTACATCATCGGTTCCCGCACGTCGCCGGCCTCGCGCCCCACTCCTTCACCTCTGCAGGCCGACGTTTGCGGACACCTGCTGGGCATCAGAGGCAGCTGCATCCCTCATCCCAACCCCGGCAAACACATCACCAAAGACAAGTCAATTCAGACCCCAATTGTCCAGCCGCTAGAAGACCAATTCACCAATCTAGTGGTGGAGCACCAACTTCTACCTGGACAGGAGATGCAAACGGCGACAAAAAACAGCCTGTCGCCTTCAATACACCTTCAAATGCCCAGCCCTCCTCGAGGCCCTCCACCGCCCTATAACGCCCACATTCAGATCCCAGCGGCGTCTTCAGACAACCTCAGGGTCCTTCCGTCGACTCTCTGCCCGATGCTGGAGGAGGACGAGGAGGAGGACGTCAGCGGAGGACACTGCTGCCGTTGGCTGGACTGCGGCGCTGTTTACGGCCAGCGAGAGGAGCTGGTCAAGCACATCGAGAAGATCCACGTCGACCAGCGCAAGGGCGAGGACTTCACCTGCTTCTGGGCCGAATGTCCACGCAAACACAAGCCTTTCAACGCACGCTACAAGCTCCTCATCCACATGAGGGTCCACTCCGGGGAGAAACCCAACAAATGCTCAGTGAGTCGATGGAGTTTTAAAGCTGAAATCTGACAATAATATGTCTCTAAATATGCAAGCACAGACTAAAAAAAAATACATTCAATAATTACAAAGACAATACATATACAGTATATATACGGTCGCCGTGATTTTGCCAAGCAAGACATGTTCCTGGATCTTGTTCCAGGATCAACAAGGATGTACTTGGTGAAATCACGGTCACCATACATATACACACAAAAACATTTGAATAAAAAATAAATATAGTTAATTTATAAGAAATATAACATGTTCGTTATTGGAAATAAACATTAACTGGGATACAATCAAATATATATATTAAAAAAATGTTTTATTTAAACTAGTTGCTAAGGCAACATTTTTAATTTGAATTTGTTTTAACTTAAAGTACTAAAATAATTAAAAATAACTGAAATAAAAATGAAAAACTATAGACATTTTAAAAAACAAAGCTTACTGAAAATGACAAAAACACAAAAGTTACAAAGACTTTAAAATACATATAAAATTAATTCAAAATATGAATAGAAAACTACAATATATATTTATGTGTGTATGTCTATACATATATATACACACACACACACACACACATATATATAAATACACAAAAAACTATTTTTGTGTAAAGTATAGGTAATTTTACTGGAAACAACTGGAAATAAAATAAACATTAACTGGGATACAATAATATAAAAAAACAAAAATAAAACTTATTTCAACTAGTTGCTAAGACAACATTTCCCATTTTAATTTACTGTAACTTGAACTACTAAAACAGCTAAAACTGAAATAAAAATGAAGAAAAACTATGTAGACGTTGAAAAAAAATACAAAATTTTAATTAGTAAAGGGAGTTTAATTACTAAATCTTTATAATAAAAATGGAAAACATATTCAAAATATTAATAGAAATGAATACTACTAATAGAAATAGTATCTAAATTAAATTAAATTAAAATAAGACTATATATGTGTGTGTGTATGTGTGTGAGTGTTACGTCACATTTCAGAATCCTTTTGTTGCTCAGCTGAACACTTTTCTGGTTCAGTTCCAGTAAAGAATGAAGTATCTTCTAGTATTTTAATGTGCAGACACAGCTATATGTAAGCCAACACCGTTCAAAACAACACTCTCTTTGCAATTGTGTTTCCAACACGAACCAATAAAAGGCTACTTTATGTTTCTAAATTGAACTTTTAATATCATCAAAGAACCATTAAGGAGCTTTCTTTATTTAGAGTAATTAAGAGATCTGCACAAACAAGCGTTTTAGACGCTGCATTAGCATGCAGGAGGATCTGATCATTGGCAGAACGCAGGGTAACGACACCCCCCAGTGGCTGCATCCATTGATCTCTTGCATTTCTTTACACGCATTACAACACTGCAGTGCTTCAGGGAATCGCTTGTTTTCTTCTGTCTATTGTTGCAGCATTAATAGCATTTCTAGTGGAGAAAAAGCCCTCTGTCTTTCTGTTTAGGAGCAACTCCTCTGAAGGTTTAAACTTAGCCAATAACACATTAAGACATCAACAAAAAAAACGAAATCCCTGGCGATATAATCAGTATAGTTGTGTGCTTTATTGTGCTGTTGTGGAGAGGCTGTATTACACTTCATTTGTGAGTTTTTCTCCTCTCTTTTAACTGCAGCCATCAGCTAATTAGTGATTATCCTTGATAATGGACATGGGAGTTTGTGCAATTATGCAGTTATTAAAAAGGGACAAAAGACTCGTTTTTAAGCTCTGGCCTCTGCCTCCCGCCATACACCTCGATCAAACAGAGACGTGTGATACGATGCATTCGATCCGGGAGGCTTTATTCATAAACGAGATTTCCTGGAAAAAAAGTGGTGCTTGAATGCACTGGAAAAAAAAGTAGAATATATTTAAAGGGATAGTTCAGCTAAAAACTAAGGTCGTCATTTACTCGCCCTCATGCTCTGTGATTTACCTTCTTCTGCGAAATGCAGAAGGAGACGATTAGCAGAATGTTTGGACTGACTCGCTTTCATTATCTGGACAATTCCTGCGAGTTTAACTGTGGTCTTAAAAAATTAAGCAAAGTGGTTACAAAGTAGGATTTCTTAAAAATTCGCCTTTCCACAAATTAAGGCCTTAAAAAGGTGATGGCATTAAATGCATGCACTGCAAAAAAATGGTCTTGTTTTCCAATACAAACATCTAGACATCCTTTAATCGAGATGCATTTAAGTTCTTCAGTTTAGTTCAGTTCAGTTGGAAATGCAAACTGAAGAATTTTGCATTTGAAGAATTTCTTAGACGTTTATGAAATCTTGAGTTGAGTTGAGTTTATGCTTAGAACAGATATCGGTCAATGAAAACGTTTTCCCTTTTAATTAAGTAGATTTTTCTCAATTCACTGGCAGATATTTATTCCTTGTTTTTTTGTTTTAATCTTCATTTTGATCAGTTTTTCAGAAAACAAGACTTATGTCATTTTGCTTCTCAGTGCATCTTGATTTAAGAATATTTAGACGCATCAAGAATCTTTAGGCATTTGCACTGGAAACAAGACAAGCACTTTGTTGCAGTGTGATCAGAAGCTACAGTAAAAGTTATTCCCATATTCTAGTTAAGAGAAATTAATTAAAAAGTGATGGAGATCTGTTGGAAGTTGTATTTTCACATGCATCTCATTTTCTACATTCAGTGACCATATTGACGTATTGTGTTCCCATCAATTTGGCCCTTAAATTTTCTTCCTTTGTTCTTAAAAGGTCTTAAAGTCTCAACTTAACTCTCATAAAGCCTGCCAAGTTTCATTTCATTCAACATTTTTATACAATTCCCTGAAAATGGTCCAAAAACCATTTTTGTGACATTTTAAATGCATATAAAGATGTGGATGAAAACACTTTTAGAGTGCGTGCAAAACTCAACACAATGCAAGGCTGTTGCTATGCAGTTGCTAGGGTGTTCTTAGTGATTTTAGCACGTTGCTATGGTTTTGAGGTTATTTCCAGGTTTTCAGTGTTAGGGGTTTGATCAGATCACAATCTATAAGCAGCATCTCTAGTAGAGAGAATGTTTCTCATCGAGACACTTTAGTGTGTTTCTCCTCTGGAGTTGTGATTTTCTTCAGGAGTGTGTTCGTTTCCTTCAGCGATCGGAGTCGATCAGCCATTAATAGCACACACATACCTCTGGTCAAACGTTAGCTCCGCACACTTACTCATTACCAAAGCCTTTGCTGTTGCCATGGCGCCGGGAGCAGTCGGATGGTTTTCCAGTGATCGTAAGAAAAGACAAAGAAAGACAAAACTCAGAGACAAAGAGTCTTTCCTGCGTAAAGCGCAGTTGCTTGTTGTCTGTGGACTGAATCACACACACAAACACTCTTCAGCGTCTGTGAGCACTAGCTGAATGGAGTCGACGGGTAAACAGATCCGTGAGTCACTGCAGCATAATGACACAGATCTGATGTCCTGAACAATCACAGACGAGTCCCAGCATGCTCAGCCACCCACCTGCACACACATCCAGCCATCCATCCTTCTATCTACCCAAATATTTATCCATCCATCCATATATCTATCTATCCATCCATCTGAGTATCTGACAATCCGTCTATCTATCTATCTATCTATCTATCCAAATATCTATCCATCCATCTGAGTATCTGTCAATCCGTCTATCCATCTATCTATCTATCTATCTATCTATCTATCTATCTATCTATCTATCTATCTATCTATCTATCTATCTATCTATCTATCTATCTATCTATCTATCTATCTATCTATCTATCTATCTATCTATCTATCCATCCATCCATCCATGCATCCATCCATCCATCCATCCATCCGTCTATCTATCTATCTATCCATCTATCTATCTATCTATCTACCCAAATATCTATCCATCCATCTGAGTATCTGACCATCCGTCTATCTATCTATCCATCTATCCATCTACCCAAATATCTATCCATCCATCTGAGTATCTGTCAATCCGTCTATCTACCTATCCATCCATCTATCCATCCATCCATCCATCCATCCATCCATCCATCCATCCATCCATCCATCCATCCATCCATCCATCCATCCATCCATCCATCCATCCATCCATCCATCCATCCATCCATCCATCCATCCATCCATCCATCCATCCATCCATCCATCCATCCATCCATCCATCCATCCATCCATCCATCCATCCATCCATCCATCCATCCATCCATCCATCCATCCATCCATCCATCCATC